CAGAGACGCAACGACTGCGTCACGAAGCACAGTGACACAGGATGTCAATACTTACTACTGTCGTAAATCAAGAGTAACAGAGCCGTATTTAAAGAAATGCAAATATTGATATCTTAAATCAGGGGTCACCAGCTCCCAGAAATAATTATAAAAATAAGAATTACTATATAGTTAAATTCAAAACGACATTTCGAGTTAAAATGAAATCCAGTCCTAAATCAGGTATAGTATGTGTTGGCTATAAAATTTGTGAAAACAGTTCTGGTATGGTAAATTTAAAAGAGGAATTATATGTCTTAATTTATAATGTAGCAACAAATTGTAAAATTAAATGCATTTTCGGTCAGTATTAACAAGTGTATTACATCTGGGATTTACACACCAGTTGATATTTAGGGTTTGTTGAAATTCACAAGATCGATCACTTCAAGTTGGCACTGTCATGCAGCCACAACAGCCACTGTCATGCAGCCACAACAACCACTGTCACGCAGCCACAACAACCACTATCACGCAGCCCCAACAACCACTGTCACGCAGCCCCAACAACCACTGTCACGCAGCCCCAACAACCACTGTCACGCAGCCCCAACAACCACTGTCACGCAGCCCCAACAACCACTGTCATGCAGCCCCAACAACCAGTCACGCAGCCCCAACAACCACTGTCACGCAGCCCCAACAACCACTGTCACACAGCCACAACAACCACTGTCACGCAGCCCCAACAACCACTGTCACGCAGCCCCAACAACCACTGTTGTCAGCATAGTTGCTGATCCCTGTGTTGTATAGCATATCAGTATCATCCATGTGCTTTAGATAGGAGATCCCTAGGCCTGTGACTGTGTGACGTCATGGGATGCGCATGTGTACGGTCGTACCTCTGCCTCCCTCTCAGTCGGCGTTTGACATAGGCTAGGACAGGCAGAGGCTGGGCTCCATTTCCCATCATCACAGTCTGACAATGTATCGTTACCATCCAACAAGTGTGTCTACCTTCAACCCTCGATATTTCCATTTAAGAACCACTGTCACACAGCCACAATAACCACTGTTACGCAGCCCCAACAACCACTGTCACGCAGCCACAACAAGCAACCACTTGGCTCTTTAGATCTTCATATATGTAAGTCTTATTTTACAGTGGTTATATTAAACTGCCGTGGCAGAGGATACAGTTAAGAAAGGCACTGTGAACGTATGGAGGCACAGCTAAGGCAGAGATGCACAGTGTTATGCAGACTACTGCATCATTGTAATTAATTTATTTGTAATTTATGAATATTGTGAAGGCTTACTCAGCCCTGTAACAACTTCAGTCAGTATTACTAAGACTGGCTCCTCCTCAGGAAAATTAATGTATAGAAAAAGAATAAAAACAGACAAACATAAACACTTTATTATTTAGAAAATATAAAATATAAACACTTAAATATGAAATATTGATCCTACATTAAAGAAAATGAAAAATGAAAAATGTAAATATCTGAATTCAACGCTAATATATTTAAAACTTGGGTGTCTGGTGTTGGTGACATGCGTGTTGTTGAAATCGTAGCCGCTGCTGATGATGGGGGGGGGGTCGCAGGTGTTGGTTACAACCCACTGGCTAGTTCTTCACAGTATAGCCTTGATTAATCTTTCCAGATGACAGGAAAGCAGGTTTTTTTTCCACTGCAATGATGAGGGGTTATATCCTGCTACTTGCATACACAAACAGGTAAGTGGATCAGAATTTGGGACATCTCAGAACGTTAGTCTGTCTCCTTCAATTCTACTTGTTGATTGGCAGGTGACCCTCTCTGTCATCCAAGCTGGAAAGATAGACAGGTTACCCACTGCTTAAGAAATCACTCTCCATGATAAGTACAATACATAAAAGACGTGGTGATTATTACAACAGTCAACTTAGAGCAAGGCTGAAAGGACTAAGTTTATTATTGGTAAAAAGTGAAGCTTTCAACCAATAAATCCACTAGAATACAAGGCAGACATGTACTTACAGTAGTGCTGGGAGCTGTGAGTCTAGTGATTACTGTTTGGACCGGAGCCCCACACGTCACCTTTCGGGGGGGGGGGAGAAGGAGGGAAAGGGATAGGGGGAGCTAGACTGACCCTACCTTAACAAGCAGCCGGCAATCAAACTATCACTTTCGGGGTGGGGGAAAAAAGGCGGGAATAGCGGGAGCTAGACTTACCTTAACAAGCAGCCGGCAATCAAACTATTGTTACTATATACTCCCTCGCTACTCCTATCTATTGAACTTTTCCCTCACAAATATAAAATAGTGTTTATAAGGTGGAAAAAAGAGCAGCAAGGAGGACAGTGACTGAAGGTATGCATTATAGGCAGGTAGACACAGTGTAGGCTGGTAGACACAGTGTAGGCAGGTAGACACAGTGTAGGCTGGTAGACACAGTGTAGGCAGGTAGACACAGTGTAGGCTGGTAGACACAGTGTAGGCAGGTAGACACAGTGTAGGCTGGTAGACACAGTGTAGGCTGGTAGACACAGTGTAGGCTGGTAGACACAGTGTAGGCAGGTAGATACAGTGTAGGCTGGTAGACACAGTGTAGGCTGGTAGACAGTGTAGGCTGGTAGACACAGTGTAGGCTGGTAGACACAGTGTAGGCTAGTAGACACAGTGTAGGCTGGTAGACACAGTGTAGGCTGGTAGACACAGTGTAGGCAGGTAGACACAGTGTAGGCTGGTAGACACAGTGTAGGCTGGGAGACACAGTGTAGGCTGGGAGACACAGTGTAGGCTGGTAGACACAGTGTAGGCTGGTAGACACAGTGTAGGCTGGTAGACACAGTGTAGGCTGGTAGACACAGTGTAGGCTGGTAGACACAGTGTAGGCTGGTAGACACAGTGTAAGTTGGTAGACACAGTGTAGGCTGGTAGACACAGTGTAGGTTGGTAGACAATGTAGGCTGGTAGACACAGTGTAGGCTGGTAGACACAGTGTAGGTTGGTAGACACAGTGTAGGTGGTAGACACAGTGGTAAGCTGGGAGACACAGTGTAGGTGGTAGACAAAGTGTAAGCTGGTAGACACAGTGTAGGCTGGTAGACACAGTGTAGGCTGGGAAACACAGTATAGGGTGGTAGACACAGTGTAGGTTGGTAGACACAGTGTAGGCTGGTAGACACAGTGTAGGCTGGTAGACACAGTGTAGGTTGGTAGACACAGTGTAGGTTGGTAGACAAAGTGTAAGCTGGTAGACACAGTGTA